CTTCTTCTTCTTCTTCTTCTTTTTTTTTTTTAAAGGGAGTCCCTATGTCTCTAAAATAGGCAGATTCAGGAGGGGAAGAAATATAGAATTATTACCCTGCTGATCTATAAGTGTTTTAATTATGGCAATAAAATCCTAAACATAGAACTGTACTCTTAGTACAAGTGCATTCTGCTCTCAGAAAGCTGGCTGAACATTCTAGCAAAGCTGCTAGCTTTCAGAGGGCAGAAACAGGTTATGTATGAGTCAGCTCAGTCTAGAGGGGGAACAGATTTAAAGATGTGATCTAAGTACATATAAAAGTAAACCGTAGACTCTAGCAACAGACAAAGGGGATGAGTGTGGTTTGCTATCCAGCCCTTGGGCCTGTTTTGTGCCACCTGGGGAGATAGAAGTCTGAGATATATTTTATGCTCAGTCAGAAATTGTGATAAAAAGCAAAAAGACCTAGGAATGAAAGTCAAAAGATTACCTTATTCTTCTTTCCTATGATTCCCTAAAAAAAGATGAGATCAAGAGGTAGCTGATTTTAGCCATTTTAGTCTTCTAGTCGGGTAATGACTTCTCTAATTATAGCTTATCATTGTCAGCAGCATTCTTCTCTATACTTTCCCTTCAGTGGCCATCTGCTCCACTATGTCTAATTTTTCTTGCAGGTTTTCTACTACTACCAGTTTTACTAATAATAGCACAGTATAGTGCAGTCATTTTTATGTTCTTTGTTAAGTACCTTTCATGTAAGTTATCAATCATCCTATTTCCATATCACATAGCAAAAATATGGAAAGAAATAAAGAGGAAGAGCTCCCCTCACCTTCTCTTCCCTGATTTCAACACTAACCTTCCTTCATTGCATGACCAGAGAAAGAAAAGAAGGAGAAGAAGAAAAAAAAAAAAAAAACACAGAAAAGGTTTCTCTAGAAAGAAGAACCAGCATAAAAACTAACACAAAATAAGTTAACAGAAGAACAAGGTAGGGGTACTGATCCACCCACCTCATGTTCTTTTTAACCCAATAAAGAAATGGAGTGCTGAAACCGGTTTGGCTCAGTGGATAGTGTCAGCCTGGAAACTGAAAGATCCCAGGTTTGATTCTGGTCAAGGGCATGTACCTTGGTTGCAGGCACATCCCCAAAAAGGTGTGTGCAAGAGGCAGCTGACCGATGTTTCCCGCTCAATGATGTTTCTAGCTTTCTATCCCTTTCTCTTCCTATTTGTAAAAACTCAATCATATATATATATATATATATATATATATATATATATATATAATGAAGCAGAATTTCCAAGCCACAATGAAGAAAATATATATATATTTTAATAATGAAGTATCTACACTAATAAAAGAGTAACATGAAAATTAACCACCACTGCTACACTCACAGCCAATCAGAGTGAGTATGCAAATTAATCCAACAAAAATGGTGGTTAATTTGCATATGCTGAGGGAGGGAGGAGTGAAGACTGAAGACAGCATAGAAGGAAGAGGGAGGAAAAATAGAAGCAAGGCTGCAGCAGCAGGAGGGAAAACAGCAGCAGAGGGCAGGGCGGGCGGGTAGGGCAGTTGGCAGCGGGAGGAAAAGCTTGGGGTGAGGGGTGGGAGACAGAGGCGGCAAGAAAAGGAGGGGGGGTGGGGAGAAGCAGGAGAGGGGGCGGTACCGGGAGGAAAGCCCCCCGGAAGCCCTGTTCTTGCAGGAATCTTCCTTCAACAGGTCCCTAATTAGTAAATAATTCTAATCCAAAGTATTCCTATTACCCAATACACTATATACAGGGGGACAAAAGTAGGTTTACAGCGATGGGTACAGAAAACAGAGTTTATTCTTGTATTATTTATTAACTAGAGACCCAGAGCACGAAATTCGTACATGGTGGGGGGGGGGGGGGGACGGGGGAGGAAGGTTCCCTCAGCCCAGCTGCACCCTCTCCAATCTGGGACCACTAGGGGGATGTCCAACTGCCAGCAGTCAGACATCCTTCTCACAATTCGGGACCACTGGCTCCTAACCACTCACCTGCCTTCCTGCCTGATCACCCCTAACGACTCTACCTGCTGGCCTGATTGCCCCTAACTGCCTCTGCTTGCTGGCTTGATTGCCCCCTAACTGGTCCCTTGCCAGGTTGGTCACCCCCTACCTGGTCACACACCAGTCTGGTTGGCCCCTAACTGCCCCCTGCTGGTCTGGTCTTCCCCTAACTGCCCCCTGCCAGCCTGGTTGCCCCTTAACTGTCCAGAAGAAAGTCGGACTCCAGAAGATATCCAGTCAACCTGATCTAATTAGCATATTAACATTTTATTAGTATAGATTATTGTATTATTTTCCATATGAACAACTGTACACCTAATTTTGCTCCACCCTGTATCCATTTAACATGATTCTATATAGAATGAAGTATGCAAGTTGACTGCATAGATATACCTTCTGATCACTAGGCAATTTAACAAGTACATTATGGGCAATCTAAATAAATCAAACATAGTTAAGAAGTTATGGAAAACAAACAACTTATTCTTAGATGATGCTTTAAGAGGCTGTGGGGTGCATGTACACATTTTGGTTGCTGTATAATCAGTACTCAGAACAATGCCTGGCACATATAGGCACTGGGTGAATATATGTTGTAGAAATGTATCTAACTTAGATCTGAAAAAGTGCAAAGCTGCACTTTATAGTCTAAACATTCAGCAAAACAAAGGTGTAATCAGAACATGAGTCCAGGGCCTTAGGCAGCTACGCTTCTCCTGGACTCACCTCTTCTCTGCATGGATAGCTGCTTGTCATTCCTGCTTTGAGAATATAACTGCAGATTTATGAAATGCTTGGTTTCAGCATCTTTAAATGATCTATACTAATAAAAGGATAATATGCAAATTTGTCAGGATGTCCTCACAGTAATGACTGAACAGCAGGCTGCAAGGGGTGACAAGATCAGAGGAGGGTTAGTGAGGGATGCCCAAATGACTGAACAGCAGGCTACGTGGGGTGACCAGATCAGCAAGGGGGGTTAGTGAGGGACAACAAACGACTGAACAGCAGGCTGCATCGGGTGACCAGGCTGGCGGGGATGGGGGCAGTGAGGAGTGACCGAGCCAGCAGAGAGGGGCAGAGAGGGGCAGAGAGGGGCAACCAGGCTTCTAGTTTACTTATAAAGTACCTTAAACTCTCATAAAAACCTTGCCAAAATACATACTTTCTCAAATATTCAAAATACTTAAGTTGTTAAACATTCTCTAACTTGGCCAGCTTTTTCCACCAGTAAGCTGTTCCCTTAGCCTAGCATGCTCTATAGCCTATCTGTCTATAGCAATACTCTGCCTTCAAGGACCAATCCCAGTTCTATTTCCTGCATAAAGCTCTTCCCTTGACTATTCCAATACTTGGGGATTCTAGTCCCTACCTCTTCCTTTCTCAAAAAAAGCTATTATCTTATAGGACATTTAAATTATACACTGTCTTTTAAAGGTTTTTGTGTTTTTTTTTCATCTCATTATATATCCTCTTCCTGACAGATGACTGGAAGACTGGAATCTCAAGTATGGGAATTGTTTCTTGCAGATGGCTTTGTTTTCTTTTCATCTTTACCACACAGGGTAGTCTATGGGAGGAATTCAGTTGAGGGAGAGAGGAGGGACATTCCATGTCTACCAACATATAAAAGCACCATTTCTCAGGTAAGCAGAGTATAGCTGAGCTCTCTTTGTGCTTTCTATCTCTTACATCTAACTTAAACCGTGAAGCAAATTAAATGCAGTGGATGAAAAGGTTTTTTTCCTGGTAATTGGACTTCCCTTCCAGTTCTTGCAAGGCTGCAGTTTACATAAATCTGAAGAACATGCAGTAACAGTAAGCATCCAGTTAAATCAATGGTAACAGGAAGCCCAAAGCAACATGAACAAAGGATAAAAGCATATCTGAGAGCTGACTGCGATTTTTCAATTAAAAAGTAACAGACTGGTGCTTAAGATTTGACTGTAGATTTACTAAAAAACCTGAATGATTAATGATAGCTAAGGTCTGAGATTTCATTCATATTTTGTTGATCAACTTCAAAAAGCTATTTTTAAAATTATACTGTTAATAATAGATGCAATGCTAAACTAATTATAGGAGTAATGAATTTGCCTGAGGACAGATATGAACTAACAGGGAGAAGAGCAAAAAAACTTTGAAAAAGACTTGTTAACTAGATTAAATGAACTGAGATATATATATATATATATATATATATATATATATATATATATGAATGAAAAGGCTTAAAACAGTACCTCATGCAAGATTTAAGGTAAAACTGAAATAGACCCTTAGAGAGAGAGACTTCAAAACTTAGCATCATAAAAAAAAATTACAAGCTAACTTTAATTTCCATGGTGGTTTACTACTAATTATTTGTTTTGCAAATATAGACTAAGGATCACTTAAAATTTTAAACTGACACATTAATTCGGTGTTTTTTTTGTGTGTGTTTTTTGTTTGTTTTTTAAAAACACCTTGTTTTCTTTTTAAATATATTTTATTGATTTTTTACAGAGAAGAAGGGAGAGAGATAGAGAACCAGAAACGTCAATGAGAGAGAAACATCGACCAGCCACCTCCTGCACCCACATACATGCCCTTGACCGGAATCGAACCTGGGACCTTTCAGTCCACAAACCGATGCTCTACCACTGAGCCAAACCAGTTTTGGCTAAAAACACCTTGTTTTCTGCAAAGCTGCTAGAAAATACCTAAATATACTATCAGGCTCCTCAAACACCTGGTCAAATACTGTGCTGGAATTGTATATTTGCCTTTATTCACAGGTCAAACACTGCACTGAATTGAATTCCACAATTCTGACCATTAGGATAATTTCCTTCCCCACTTCATCAATTCATTACAGATGCCCTGATCAAAATATATACAGAACCTCTGAATTCACTTCGCCAAGTTTTAGAATTACCTACCTGCTAACATGTTTCCAATGTTATTTTGTAATAACACAATATAATGTCATACCTTTTGGATTTCTTCAGGTAATGCGTGCATGGGAACGTGACGATCCATAATTTCCCAAAATATACTGAAGGAGCTCTGAAGTAAAATAACCTAAAAATATTGATAGCAATGGTCAGAATTGAATAATGTAAAAGAATTCAAATTAAAATATATAAATTCTTGGTGATGCTGGAAAAAGAATGGTGATAACTATTTAAACAGATGTTTATTTCATCAGTGTTAAACAGTATAAGTGGGGTTTTCTCAGTTAGTTAGTAGGCCAATAGAACAGGAAGGACCTACAGAGACTACTGATAGTAGTTGCAAATATTTTTTCTTTAGAGACATATGCAATACTTTCCACAATAAAGAATTAAAAAACATTTTTAATGTATTCACACTTAACAAAAAAAAGAAATTAGTAGTCCAATTGTAATTTCTGTGGTGATTTAATACTAATTATTTGCTTTGCAAATACAAAATAAGAATCATAAAATTTTAAATGTAACCATTTATTTCAAGATTTTTTTAAGTTTTTTTTTTTTTTTTTGAAAAGCTACTAAAATAATGGGTAAATATGGTATTTTAGTTTGGCAAACAAGAAAAGCAACTATGACATGAATATAGTTTAAAAAATATATTATCAGATTAAATATGATATGCAGGCCCTGAACAGAAGAAACATCAAAGTATGAGAAGCCAAGTGCCAAATTTAACTAAAAATGAACATTTTTATTATTTTTATGTATTTTACTTTCAATAGATTTTCATTTTATAATAAAATAATCTATATATATAAAAGCCTAAGCAACCATTATGACTGGACAATTGGAAAGACGAGTCAACCAGTCGCTATGATGTACAGTGACCACCAGGGGACAGACATTCAATGCCGGAGCTGCCCCCTAGTGGTCAGTACGCTCCCACAGCCAGCCAACCTCCCCTGGTTCTCCGCAAACCTCCCTTGGTCCCTTGTCCCATCCAATAGCAGGCAGGCTCCCAAGCCCTGGCCAGCAGGCTCCCAAGCTCTGGCCAGCAGGCCCCCAGGCCCTGGCCGACAGCCAGCAGGCCTTGGCTGGCCTTGGCTAGCCCTGGCTGGCCTGTCCAGCTCGGGACTGGATGAGATGTTACCAATAGGTCCTGATTGCCAGCAAGACCTAGGAACCCCTCCCGTGAATGAATTTCGTGCACTGGGCCTCTCATTCTATGTAACACTCTATCATTACTTTCACAAAACCTCACAGAATGGAGGAGCATTTGGGTTTTGTGAGTGTGTTTTTTTAATCTTTCCCAAATATGGAGGAAGAATAGGCGGTCCAATTTCATGAGTGAGAGATGCTTATGTATACCCAAGGAGTAAGGGTGGCAACAGAGCAAAATGATATAGGCCCAATTCCACAGCAGGGAACAAGGCCTAAGGGCCAACAGCTGTAGACAAAGAACAGGAGCCAGTATTAGTGAAGGCTTACTGAGGTTGTTTGCTTTTGATCAGGGTAAGATTTTGACAGGAGAGGCCTAGAAGTCTATCTGAGATAGCAACTCCAGCCTAGGTAGCAGGTAAATTATATATAACAAAAATTCTTATAGTGGCAATATTTTTTTAAATTACACAACCAATGGTAGAAGAGAAGATTCCCTCCCTATCTTATTAGCATATTCCCTTGTTTTAATGAGCTGCTGTTTACAACAAATAATCATCTGTCTTCCCATATAAATATTGTGTGTGTGTGTGTGTGTGTGTGTGTGTGTGTGTGTGTGTGTTTGGTAAAGTTAACTGCAGCTGACTATGGGGTAAAGTTAACTGACATAGTTAACATTGGCCCACATGACCAAAAATATAATAATGTGATGTTTGGCAGACTGTAACTGTGATGTGGCAAGCGCTCATTATTCACAAAAGGCTCATTATTCTCATTTCTGCCATTTTACAATGGACTCACCAATAGAAAAATAAGATGGCATCAGCTTAATTAAACTCTATTGGGAGAACTTTTCCCAAATTACCAACTAAATCCCCTTACAAAATTATTTGAGAGCATGGATCTAGTGACAGTGTAAACAAGGCAGTTTTTATTTAGAACCTTGATTGTTTGTAAATCTATCCCAACTTTGTGGTCTTATTTTACCAAAGGAAAATTGGCCGGTTCTGATTATTGAGGAAAAATGAAAAATAAAATATTCTGTTAACCCAGAAAAAAATTTCTCTATAGCAGAAAGATAGTAATTTCATTACTGAATATGCATTTAGCCAGACTGTGAGGCATATCACAATCCATCTGCTAATGAGATTACAGAGGCAGAAAGAAATCCCACTTTTTACACAACCAGGCAGATACAATCCATTACACCCATGTTCTCGAGATAACTGGTAACTTGTCCTCAATACAGCTTGCCAGTTCATTTTAAATCACCTGGTAATCCAAACGGCTATCTATTCTAGCTAATTGCGTCTGTTCTAAGGAATGCAAATCTCTACTGACAAAGTAGGCGGTTGCTTAGAAGGCACCTAAACTATAATAAAGCTGTAGGAGATATGGAAATAGGGGAGTTAATTTCCTTGATATTTACATTTTAAAGAAATGGCTCCCTGGCCCTCAAGGGAAACAATATGGGTCTTTAAAAGCTTTGCATGCATATTAAATAGAGGGAGCATTCACAAATAAGACCTTTCTCAGCAGAGGGAGGGGGAAAGGTCTCTTTCTCTTTAGGCCACAGGGAAATTTGTTCATTTTAATGTTCCTTTACATTACTTTGCATGTTTTAGCAAATGAGCCCCTTTTATTCTGTCACTTTAAACTCGTGTAGGCTGCCCTTTGGCTAGAGACGCTGCGGCGATAACTGGCAGCAGCTATGTAAGGTGTATCTGACTCTCTCTCTCTCTCTCTCTCTCTCTCTCTCTCTCTCTCTCTCTCTCTCTCTCTCTCTCCCCTCTCTCAAAGGGGTCAGGAGGAAAATGTCAAAAACACAGAAATGTTCGTTCTTGACTGTTCACTTCCGATTCCCTGCCCCACACCAGGATCTCCATGGGCTGGCAGCTCCCGTCCTGTTCGTCAAGAACTACCCCCCTGGCGTGAGTCACCCAAAAGGAGCAGCAGGTCAGGGTCAGGTGAAGCGGGAGGAGTCCTGAAACTTTCTTCTCCAGCGGCGGGCTTTTCCAAACACAGACCCACGCCGAGGCCAGCCAACCTGCAGGGAGTCTTGCGAGGCGTGTCCCGGGCTAACCCCGCTCCCGCGGGCCCTGCTGCGGCAGGAAGAGGAGGCGGAAGGCGCGGCGCGGAGGCCCCACCACGCACGGCGGGGGGAGTGGATGCCGGGCCCGGGCTCGCGGGGACCAGCCAGGGGGCGCCGCACCCCGCTTTCCGGCCCCCTCCAAGTGCCGGCACGCCTCCGCGCCGGAACTGCGTCCCGGGGACCCGGGTGCCCCCCGCGGCTCAGGAAGCTGTTCGCGTCCTCTCTCACCTAGACCTGGACGCCGCTGGGTGCGAAACGGCTTCCCCAGTCTCCTGGGAGACCGCGCTGCACGTCGGCGTGACGTCAGGGCGCGGTGACGTCACGGCCCACGCGAGACCCCGGGGGCAAGCGGGAAGCTGGCGTTGGGGTCTGGGCCAATGGCTCCTCTGACGCTGAGTGCGGGGCGGGGGCTGGGGTCGGCGGCGACCATGGGACGCAGGGAGCGGGCCCAGCTCTGCCTCCTGGGCTGGGAGCCCTGGTGTGTCTACCTCTCACCCTGGAGGACTGTTCCTGTTCTTGAGCTGAAAGAGGAGCTATGCCCTTAGAGGTCAAGGGTGTGCGGGGGGGGGGACTCTCTGGTCTCTGATTGCAGCTGAGAAGACGTCGGTAAAATTTTCCTCCTAGTCCAAGAGTAGTCGAAATGAAAGATTCAGCTCTAAAGCTATCTTGGGGGAACTTACAGGCAAAAATGCATAGCCCATGGACACAGACAGTCATTTGAAGGCCTGGGAGTGAGGGGTTGGAGTGGGGATGGGAGCAGGATGGAGAGAGTTAATGGGGAAAAAGAGGGAGGGACATCTGTAATACTTTCAACAATACATTCTTTTTTGGTTCAGATTTTTTAAATTAATAAATCTTTATTGTTCAGATTATTAAAATTTTTCCTCTTTTTTTCCCCCATAGCTCCCCTCCATCCGGTCCCCGCCCCCCTGCACTTACGCCCCCCACTGTCATCATCCATAGGTGTACGATTTTTATCCAGTCTCTCCCACACCCCTTTCCCCCAATAATTGTCAGCCCACTCCCTTTCTATGTACCTGACTCTATAATGTTCACCAGTTTATTCTGTTCATCAGATTTTTTTATTCACTTGATTTTTAGATTCGCTTGTTGATATGTATTTGTTGTTCATAATTTTTATCTTTGCCCTTTTCTTCCTCCTCTTTTATTTATTTTAAATTATTCTTAATCTTTATTTTTTTAATTACAGTATTAGTTTCAGGTGCACATCCCAGTGAGCATACATTATATAACTTACTAACTGCTCATCCTGGTAAATCTCCTACCCATCTGACATCATACACGGTTATTAGAATATTAGAGGCCCAGTGCACAGATTCATGCACTGGTGCTTCCTTCTCTTCTTTAAAGAATACCTTTCAGCATTTCATATAATACTGGTTTGGTGGTGATAAACTCATTTACCTTTTTCTTATCTGTGAAGCTCTTAATCTGCCCTTCAATTCTGAATGATAGTTTTGCTGGGTAGAGTAATCCTGGTTGTAGGTTCTTGCTATTTATCACTTTGAATATTTCTTGCCACTCCCTTCTGGCCTGCATAGTTTCTATTGAGAAATCAGCTGACAATTGCATGGGTGCTCCCTTGTAGGTAATTAACTGTTTCTCTCTTGCTACTTTTAATATTCTCTCTTTGTCTTTTGCTCTTGGCATTTTAATTATGATATGTCTTGGTGTGGTCCTCTTTGGATTCCTTTTGTTTGGGGTTCTTTGTGCTTCCTTGACTTGTAAGTCTATTTCTTTCACCAGGTTGGGGAAGTTTTCTGTCATTATTTCTTCAAGTAGGTTTTCATTATCTTGCTCTCTCTTTTGGCACCCCC